AGTGTCTCCCTGCTATTAGTTCTCCATCCATATCTTTCTCCTGAGGTAGGAAGATATATGACAAATTGGTGGTGACTGTAAGATGTGCCTCATCCATTATATGCAATTCGAAAATCAGGACCCAAAAATGGAATGCTCTTTGATTGCCACTCTTGAAAAATTGCCCCCGAGGAAGTTCAATCTTCAAAGGAGCGACAGAAGCGACATTGTGTCTGTGACGATCCAAGAAACAACAACCAATTCCACTCCAATAACGATGCCTACAAAGAATTCGGCTGCTGGTATATGCCGAATAGATGAAGAAGTATCGTCCCGACCTAAAAGAAGTTCAAATCCAACGATAGAAGCTCCGGAATGGCTTGCGCAGAAGAAAAGTAAAGCATAAAGAATGACGATCACGGGATCAGCAGTATATGCGCCTCCTCCTATAAAATAAATGATAAATTATTGATGCTGTAACGATGAGAATTCGCCGCCCCAAAAGAAGAAACAAAGATCAAGAGAAGCCTTCCCCAACCCAAGATAATGAAAGAACTTACTTTGTCAAGTAACGTCGAGGACATGGCCGGTATGCCATACAATCGCGAGAAGATCGACGCACCCCTAGCACACAAAGAAGAAATGGCAAATTAGCATTTGTCATTTTAGATATAAAAAACAAAAGGCAAAATCTGCAAGTGCTACCATAAGATGATATAACGAATCTGCTCTGCAAAATGTAATTCATCTCTTACTCGATCAGTGGAAGCCTATGATTGATCAGAGCGAAATCGTGTTCATGCATGTAACAAGTGTTAACAAAAAAAAATTCGTTACAACTATGATGAGGCGGTACAAAAAAAAAAAAGAGACGATCTTCATATTCAATCCTTTTCATTTTCAATGAGACTTACCAGTAAGGAGACTCCAGCGATGAGTAGTGGAGACACCGGAGCACTGTGCAGAAGAGCGAACCCGAAGGCGGAAAGAGGAACGTCAACATGATGGAAGTTGCAAGTCAGAAAAAGATAGTAAGAGGCTTCAGACCAAATAAAAGAATACTGCTATGAAAAAGAAAGGAATGAGCTCGCTTATCTCTCAACAAGTTGTCAGTTCCGAAGGTCATGCCGGGATACCAACGATCACGAAGAAACGCCATGGCACTGAAAGAATCAAGGGACGAGTTCTTAAAGGAAGAAAGGACCGTCCAGTAAAAAGAGAAGAACGGTGGAAAAACCAACGGCAGAGAACCAAACTTACCGACGAGAATCTGGTAGCTTATGCCAGGGATGATAGATATTGCTGACGGTCAAGGAGAACCCGCGGATGGCGAAACAGGCATCGAGAGCATGGGGCTAGGAATAGAATGGTAAGAGAGTTAGAAGCCAATGATAGAATGCCACAAAAGAAAGAAAACGCCATGACTTACCGAAATTACACCAAGACAAGAGAATACGACCAAGACCGACGAAAGATGACAGCCCCAAAGATCTGCTGTCATGATTGTGATCACGATCATGATCACAATCGCGCACCGTCCCCTAATCACGAAAAGACCTATATGCCACGAACGACAAAGCACACCGCAACCAAGACTCCGATGGAAAGAAGAAGACAAGAATGATGATAGCCCAACGATTGGAAATACCGAATGCCATCATGATCACGATCACAATTGCGATCGTACCCCCATCCCGAAGAAACCACTATGGAAAGCATCACCTAAAACAAAAGCCGATAGAAACACTGAGGGCAAACTAATACTGGAAATGGACAGAATGTTAGGAGTATCCGGGAAGACAACCCAAGGACTCGGGTGCTCTGTCGATGCTAACGATAAAATGCTGATTAATCAGAACATATACAAAATAAAATAAAATAAAAAATAAAAAAATGAGAAGAAAACTGTATCAGTGATTACCTGAAAAGTTTACCGGACTAAGAGAGTTTTGTATTTGAGAGTAAATACATTCCCTCAAGCACCATAGGAAAGAACATAAGGCACATCTGCGAACACTTCTGGTTGCTACTTGATTCAAGACCCATACCGGATCCGTAAGGGGGCTGCGGAAATGTCACGAGTGCTAGCTATTAAACAGATCGAAAATTGTTCATCCTGAAATATAGTACAATACACTAATAAATATGTATACTGTTGTTGATAAAGACCCGATGCATGTGCAATCGACATATGAAAGGAAATTATGGTTTTGTTGTCATCACGTGGTTCATCACTATGCTCTTATCTGAGTAATTTGTATCAAGCTCAAAATTCCATATCCCAAAGACTTTGGCATTGCACCGTCAATCATTTTGTATCTAGAAGACAAGATGTGCTGTCACTTCGGAAAGATGCCATGGTGCGAGTAGGCGTTAAAGGTATCAGTCGTGAGGATCTATATATGCTATTATATCAACAGCTTAAAGGGTTATGGGAATTCGTGAGGAGACTTCACCGAAATGCTGTCATAATCGTGATCACGCCCCCCACGAGAAATCACAGAAAACAACAAAGTAAGAGAAATGGACAAAGCAAAGAATTTTATAAGATGTTGACGTATGACCCGGATCGAAGAATTATCACTCACGACACATTGGCACACCCATAGTTTAAGTATGCTGCTGAGATAGTCGATGTAGATTTTTTTTCCACCTCTACTCTGATATCCCCCAAATTCCTTTATCCAGCATGAGAGCACATGCCAACTTTAAGAAAGATTCCATAGTGTATAGAGGCTACGAAAGTTGAGTTCAAGTGAACACCTTTCAACAGCAACCATATCTATGGCTAATGGATGAGCTAGCGTGAACACTTACCAAGAAAGCGCCAGACAAGAACAAAGTGATGATAGTGCCGAGTTGGAAGGACTTTAGTGAAGAAACTGGAAAGCAAAGTACATATCTATCAAAATGCGCCTCGGACTTTTGCCATTATCACCATCACGATTAATATCACCAGTTTCATGACCCGCTAAGAAGTCCCGGTGCATCAATTCTATCGATGGATCAATTACTGAGGTCACTTGCACTCTGTTCGTAAACACCATGGTAAGGATGTTGATCCCAACACTGACATTTCAATTCTGTGTGATGATGATGACACTGCAACTCCAACTGCTGTTAACGAAAACAACGATGATGACGGAAAGTACCGCCAACCGATGAAGACAAAACAAGAGAGAAAGTGTATAGAAAAGCTTACAGAACCAATCAACCTGTTCGTATGAAGCCACATCAAGACCTACAAAGAAACAAGACGTGGTTAGCATACACTCCAACACCATATAACCCCTTATTAGCATACATGTACCTACATGTTCTAATCTTGCCCACAAAATCTTACCATGCCATAATTGAATTGTGTTAATCCCCGTTCCTTTATAAAAAAAAATAAAAAGATAAAAGCAAAGTTAATAATTACCTTTATCCCTTTAATTACTTTTATCCTTTTACAATTCCTTTATAATTCCTTTGATTACTCCTCATATTCTATTAGCATTAGTGACACATATATCATTTTACTTCTTTTTTTTTTAAACTTGAGAAAATATTATTATTTGCTTGGATAATTTCATAAAGCCATTATATAGCCATAGATAACCTTGATTCTTAAAATATATAGCATATGTTGGTTAAAGGCTGGTCAGTCATGAAGCACAAAATTGTAGCAGGATAATGTTTGAGGCTATAGCATTTTATGAAATTATCAAAGTGAAAAATATTATTCTTTCAATTCATTTTGACACAGATAATATATTCATTTATTTTATTCACATAAATATTTTTAAATTTTATTAAAACTTTATTATTTTATTATTATTATCATTATTACTTTTATATTTTTAATAAAAAACATTAAAATATTGAGGTATCCTTTAGCTACTGTATGAAATACAGCACCCAGGCTATACGACGTGGACATAAATACCATGATAGCCCAGTTCTCAACTTGCCCAAATGCAAGTATCATTGAACTCTTGAGCAAAAGAAAGAACCTATTAAAAGAAACTGGTACAAGATTTCCTACAAAACAAAAAAAATATATAACAGCAAAATAATCAGCCAAAACCCTAGCTCTAATTATTTGCCACTGGCCAGAACTCTAGCTCCAGTGTGTCATTTTTCTTATCAGTAGCAACTGTTACATCCAAAATTATACAATTCTTTATTTAAAAACAAAATTCTTACACATTATTATTATTGTTATTATTATTTTTTCTTTCTTGTTTTTCTTGATAACTGAGAGGACGAGATCCAGGATTTCTTCCAGGATTTAATCGCACCCAGTTTGGATTAAGTTTATATTCATATCCAATAAGCATGCCATCTTTGTCATATGGAGAACAATATTGTTTTTTCCAAGGACCACTTATGTGAGCCCAGGAATTTGAGTTAGGACTTGAAGTTCTTCGGCAACGAAGGAGTTCCCTTTCTAATTCTTTATTTCTGAATTCAAGTTTAGCAATACGACGTCAGAGGACACCAATCATACCTGATCAAGTTTGACTTACAGCCAAATGATTAGTGCATTCTTCTTTAAGTATAGTTATTTCCTCTAAGACCATTTCCAACTTTTGTTCCAAGAGAAGATTATTTTGTTCCGACCTGCGCAAACATCTTTGCAAATATTTGGCATGTTCTTCCAAGTAGTTGACTATAATTTCCAATGGATTCTTATTGGAGGAGCAAGTAATAGGACAACTTCTGAGCATAATAACAACAAACCTGAAGTAAGAAAAAAGGGTAGAAAAATCAATATCCAATGTTAAAACAAAGAGAAAAGTTTAAAAGAAACAAAAATGACGAATATCCTTGAATATATGAATTATTTTCAAAGCGGAATAACCTAGGGATCCACTAGGCTATGACCTGTCAACGCTATATAGAGAGAACAAGTTTAAAGAAAATACATAGGCATATATCCAATAATTTTGAAAATAAAAAGGATAAATTCGTCTGATGAAGAGGTGATAATTCA